TATTTAGAAGAGAGAGACCCAAACAGCTGAACACAAAATACTGCTTCAGTATGTACGTTTATATGTGCTTTTAGTAGTCAATTGAGCCTAGAGAGAAGAAGCTATAAAAGATAAACATTTACTTCATGTACCACACACCCACAGGTATTAAAAAACAAAAGTCCACCAAATTTGAAGCAAATAGGCCTGATACTCAGTAGGTTTGTGCTGTGTGTGGTACAACATATGTGCTGTCATAAAACCCTCTGCCTTCTACCCTGCCTCCACACCACTTCCTCCAACAAGATCAACCTTACCACCCACAACGAGAATTCCCGCTAATGAACTCAGAGCTACAAAAGTTTCGATTTACTGCAGCAACTGCAGCAAATTCATTTCTGAGCTGAAAGTGGCCTTTTGGAGAATTTGCAACAATTCTCTGGGAAGGCTGGTTCATATGCTGGGTTGTCTGTGAAGCTAAATATGTGGGTGGAAAAAATATGCACACCAACTCAGGTTTTGCGGGTTATCCTGAAAATACAGCATGTCATACTGCTAAGAATTAACTATTCGCTTCTCTCAATGCAACAGAAAAACTGTCTGCCAACTTGTTTCAGTAATGCATTGAAAATACGACTGTGTGCAGGAATTTTGTTGCTGGGTTGCCTTAATAGAATGTAATATATCAGAGAAGAGAGTGTCCAGTGTTTATTTTCCACAAGTACATTACTTATATTAGGTCTGGTGAGGAAAAAAACCCCACCTTAACGATATGTCATTCATAACTGTATATTCTGACTCTTGGACTCTGTGTTGTGGTCAGCATTAGAGCAGTATCAGGATCATTGCAAAGTGTGTCCAGCTGCAGATGTTCACAAAGTCAAACGCCATGACTAGAAAATCCTGACAAGTCCCTCTGTCAGGAAGAGGGTTGACTGTCAGTATGCACCACCACCATTGACCAGACTGGCTGCTCCCAGGAACAAGTCCACTGAAAAGCAGCTGCAAAATGGAGAAGTCAGTGTCACACCGTCTGGGGGATCTGATCAAAAGCACTTTACCTAAACTACATCTGCACTCAAATTTCCTCAAACCTCAGTTCCAATTTGAACTAACGTCTGTTCTCCAGCAGAAATCTGCCTGGACTGTGTTCGTGTTTGGGAAGTATCCATCTAGGAGCAGTCCTGTGATGATTGTATGTAGATAGCTGCAACCATCACCCATTGCTGTTTGCAAGTGAACATGTCCAGAGAAGCTGAACACCTGCAAAGATAGGCAGATGGCCATTTTCAAGATTTAGCTTAGTAAGGTTATTGTTTGAGCCTAGCTCAATGGCATAGGTCATGTACCTGTCAGAAACACAAATCCCAGCCCTAGGAAATTAAATGAAAGTGAGCAGTGTCTGAGTACTGTGAGTAATACATGAGTAATGTTTGAGTAGTGTGAGTAGTCTGGGAGTAATGTCTGAGTAGTGCATTAATAGTGTATGAGTAGTATCTGAGTAGTGTGAGTAGTGTGTGAGTAGTACTGAGTAGTGGGAGTTGCGTCTGAGTATTCTGAGTAGTGTGTGAGTAGTATCTGAGTAGTGTCTGAGTAATGTACGTGTCACTGACACTAAGCGCATCGGACTAATATCCCCATAAATTTGTATTTCAGTGAATTGTTCCGTTTACAGGAGTGTAACCATGCAGAGCCATGTTCTTAGAGCGGTTTCCGTGGTTTGACCTGCTTCAAAGCATCCCTGAACTAACCAGTGGTACCTTAGGTAGGGAAATTTGTGGGGAACTTCCAGAGTGATAGATACCAGCGACGTTTAGCGTCCACACAGGTTCTGCTGTTATGCTTCTTTATTGTTCAAATAAATATTAATTCAGCACTCACACACCATACCATCATAAAGTAACTTCTGCTCTTCCCATAGACATTTATAATACATGACATCTCACAACTCACATTGCATCTTGCTTTTTCAAATCCTGATGCGACCAAGGTAACTTTACCCATGACAAACTCAAAAATGTCTCTTTCTCTCTGCTTTTCCATCTTTAGACCTTGTGAAAACATGTACCCTGCTAATGCAACAAGCCCTGCAAGATCCTTGCAATGAGCCAGCTCTGTATGTCACTGAAGTAGACCAGTAGCTGTAATTTCCACTATTAGAGGTGGTTAGAGTACCAGAGTCAATCAGGAGCCTGTGTTCAGTAGCTTCACAGGCTAAAAGCAAGGAACATGAGAACTCGGTTGTGTATTTATGGACACTTTTGGGAAAGGAAGAATGGAAGAGGAAGGTTGGGAACTTTCTCATCAGAATTTTCCAAGATGCCTTAGTGATTTGGGAGAGCAGTTATACTAAAAGGTAATTAAAAAAAAAAGTTCAATCACTTAGGTAGTTTTGAAAGCTAATCCTTATTTGCTGGAGAGAAGGAAAATAATTTTTCTAAAATCATTTGTGAAATACAGCAACTCCCAGTGCAGTTATAAGTTGGCAGAATGTGCATGAACGAGTGCTCTTATTTGCATCCAGGTTGCAGCTGTACAGTTTATAAGAGCAAATTCCTGCTACATCTCACTGCAGATGCTAGTTTTCCTAGTCAAAGGTAGTATTCTATCCCAGTTATATTCTTTTTCGACATCTTATGAGTAGGTGCTGGTAAGATACTAATGTATCACCCTGGTGTTGTATGTTAGACGTTTTGCTGACCATTAAGTAGGAGACTTTGCTGCCATTTGAGCTGATTACCACTGTAATAAAAAATTTAAACCCACACCGAGATTTGTTTCTGTTCAGATCCAAATTTGACTATTTCTTAGCTTTAAGCACCTGCTTAAATCCTACTGAAGTCAACCCAAGTGTATGTGTAAATGTTCTCTCAGGCCAGGAAGAGACCAATGAATGTAGATGTCAGAGGTTGCTTACCACAGCAAAAATGCCATATGGCCCATTTTATTGTCATTATCTAGTAGAGTTGTTTTATTCATACAGTTGTAAAAACACTTTTATAATACACTAAACATTCTGTTCTCCAAACTCTAATACTGACCCTAGTTTATAAATACTACGTGATGACTTTTCGTCTTCAGTCCCTCTCACAAATGAATTCCCAATAAATAAATAAATTATACAGGGTTAAAAAGGCAATCCTACTAGCCAAAAATTAAAACTGTTCTTGTGCAACACCCGCAACCCAATATTGCATCAACCGGTTAAAGAAGGAAACTGTTTTTAGACTAGGCATGCCGTTGTCGTACAAAGGATCCCAGGGCTCCACCACTCCCCCATGAAGACAAGTCTTTGTCTCTCAATCTGTTGGGTCGTCCCCTCCCCCGAAGTACTCAATTGTTTATTTTCTCAAACCCTAAAACATTTAGGCAGACAATGGGCTCTCCCGTGCGACCACTCCAACAAGCGTGCAGCAGCAGGCCCGTTCCTCAAAGGCCAGGCAGACGCCCCCGCAGATAATTAACAGGCCTTTTGCTCCCTGCCGGTTTTCAGCAGTGCCACACGTCCGCACCTGCACACACCTGCAAGCGCAGGGGACGGGCCGCCGCCGGCGCGGGGTCCCCCACCTCGCCACCGCCCGCCCGGCCGCCCGCCACGCTCTGCCACGAGGTGTCAGCAAAGGAACCCGCATAGCAACGGCGCCAGCGGGGAAGAAAAAAAATCACTAACGAGGCTAGGGTCCAAGTAGTTACGGCACAAATGAGATGCTAACACGGATCAGGGGAGGAAGGCGGGCATTAAACGCACCTATTTTACTGTCACGGTGTACCTGAAGATGACTCCATCCTGACCTGAGTTAGAGCACGGCAAAGTTGCTGTAAGTAGGGCACGTGCTAGAATTCAGACGGGCGAATACACATCCTCTACCTTGGTCCTATTCCTGACATCTTTCAAAGCATTTTTTTGTGTGTGTGAAAAGAGGTAGATCTAGTATAACTCCAACTTTCCAGCTTTTGTGCACCTGTGAGATTCTGTTGTGTGAGTGAGGGAGATCTCAATCTCAATAGTATTCATATACCCTTGCCATCATACAGAAACATAGAGCATTTGCAGCACTCGGGGCATTTTTCAGAAAGGAAAGAAATAATTTAAGTTCTTCCCTCTCTGTTCACTCACTTTTTATTTTGTCGTTTTATCTCATATTTTCATTTCATGAATTATTCTGAGGCATATGAGCGTAATTGTCTGAGTGGTCTTAACTTAATTTTGGTCTTTTTATTTACAAAGACCCTTTTTCACACAGTGGCTACATAACTTTAATCTCTTTATGGTGTATTCTAATTCCAGTTTACACTCTAGTACTCCACAAATTTTGCTCCAATTTTTGAGGTGTCAGATTAAAAAAAATTGGAACTCTATCTTTTGGGGTGACAGAGATGCAACATGTTCAAAGAACATAACACAGGGATGAAGAAACACTGCCTCAGGTCTTAGAGAATTCCTTTGATAGAAGCTCAGAAGTCTATTTTTTGGTTTTCCTCTCTGAAAAAGTATAAGAAAACATTTATCCATTTAGGCTAGCTTTTTACCAAGTGCTGCATCATTGCAGCAATGCATCCAGTCACTAAGTAATGCATAAATTTTTGCTTTAGAATTCTTTGGGATATCTTGGACGCTGCTTTATCACATTTTTCTATATTCCAATAATAGTTATCATAAAAAGATGAACAGGATGGTAGATATTTATTACAATGAACAGTCAGCTGGTAATCTGTACACACTATATGTACAATACACATGCTGACCCAATCACTAGTCCAAAGAACAAGGCACTAAGAAAAGTAGCACATTTATAGTTTTCTTTTTTAATTATACCTATAAGTAGACATTCTGCCGTGCTTAGAGTATTGATGTCTTGTCAGGACCAATTCCTTATGCTGCACAGGAACATTGTAAAATAGTGATGTCAAACTAAATGTATTTGTGACCAAAAATTGGAATTCAAATTAAACAAGAGAGGAGAATAGCTTAATAAAAATATTTATTGGAAAAAAATTCCGATCAATATCATTTGGCTGTACTAAGTAAGTAAAACACTGAAAGTGTCTGTGGTAATCAGGATGCAAACAGCTAGTACCATGAGTAGGATGGTTCAGCAACATTTGAAATGCTTTTTTTTTTCTCTCTGTCTTTCTCTTTTAGGAAGGTATCATACCCAGGAGAATAAACATCCCCCATCCAGAACTGTAGATCATTAGGATTTTTCTAAAAGAAAAATCAGAAAATGAACTCAGTTCCTCTCTCTTGCACATAAAGTCATTAGAACATAGGTAGAAGTATTTTGGCTATCATCAGACAGTGATTAATGAATCTAAGGCATCACAACACAAATGCAAGAGACTTTCACTTGAGCATAGGTTGTGCTACTTGCCAGATGCTACCAGTGTTCCACTGGGGAAAATTAAAACCACGCTTTTCAGCCAGGAACCAAGTGTAAGACACCATTGAAATGTGATTAAAAAATGCAAAATAAACCATTTTGTCTTCTCAAGTAAAGGTGTCGCTTTATAAACACGAGTCCCTTTACAAAAAAAAAAAAATAATAATGAAACAGCAGAAAAAAACTTGCAAAAGTAACCCTAAAACTCACTTGTGCCAACACACAGACAGGCATAGTGCAGATGAGGCTGAGAAAATGTATGTTATTTGATAACAGAATGATGTTATTAACAGTTATTAAAGTGGGCGTATAGTATTTAAGTGCCTTGTTTATAGTTCTTCTTTATATAAAAGGGGAAGATGAGTTGCAGGATATTGTACCACAGAGGTGGTGTTCTGCAGAACTGAAATTCCTGGAGTCTAACCAGATACGTAGACTTCTTTTCCGGATCAGACTCATGTTAGTGTCATGTCTGTACCAGAAAATATGTCCATATTTACTTCTGGAATCCTACAAAAAGAACTAAGCGGGCTGCACAGTGGTTCATGCTCACACACATAGATCTCATAGCAATTCACTTTGCCACAAACACAGTGCAATGGCGCATTACCTTTATGTGGCTGGCTAAGTTAGAATGCAGCGAGCGCCAGTCATAGGCTTGCATGGTCCAGGAAGAGGTCTTTTTCTTCTCCTGCCAGTCATCACCCACCTGGATATCACTATCCAAGCAGTTTCATTTGATTGTGGATTTCAGGGTGATGGGTGTAAAGCATTTCCCGAGGGCTTTGTCTATCATTCAACGGGGCCAGATTATCTTGACCGACCACATTGGAGTCTAAGCCCAGCAGCTCAGTGACGTTTCTCATTTCTCTATGTGAGGCACAGGTTAGATGAGAAGCTAGCTTTCATCTTCATTTATCTATGACACAGGCCCACTTTCACAGTTATCATTTGTAATACAATAGAATCATTTTTAAAATTACACATGCAAAATTTTTTCTTGTTCTAACAAGAACAACAAGCTTGGCTGCTAATTCTGGGCAGATTTCTTCCTTCTGGGGGAAGCACGTGGCTACAATATGAACATTAAACTCTTTTGCAAATGTGAACTGCCATGATAATGCCTCCTGAAAGAAAGGCAAAACAGAACTATGGAGCACAGCGGTAGAAGACGCAGTTCTGATGAAAGCCATGGGGGTATGCTGCAGAAGCAGTGCTGTAAGGACAAAGCAGAATGAAGCACAGGGGTAAAGCTGTGATCTAATTCCCTTGGCAGCGCTTTCACAGCCCCATAAACATTTGGCCTCCATGCTTGCCCACAGCCTTAATGGTCAAAAAAATATTTTTCACTCTCACCAGTGCCTGGCTCCAAAATTGCAAACGTCCTGCGATTGGTCCCACACCAAAGGTGCCAGGAAAGAAAGCTGTGTCTTACCCTCACTGCCACAGAATCACAGAATTTTCAGAGTTGGAAGGGACCTCCAGAGATCATCTAGTCCAACTCCCCTGCTAAAGCAGGATTGCCTAGAGCACATTACTCAGGACTGCATCCAGGCGGGTTTTGAAAATCTCCAGAGAAGGGGACTCCACAACCTCCCTGGGCAGCCTATTCCAGTGCTCTGTCCCTAGGCAGTACTTTCAAAGGCCCACAACTGTATGGCTCTGCTCTTGCCTAGCAACTTAATGATCCCAAAACTCTCCTTCACTCTCACCGGAGCCGGGCTTAAAAATGTGAAGTGTCCAGTGACTTCTCCCACACGGAGTGTGGCAGGACTGAAAGCTGTTGCTGGCCCCCACTGTTCGGTTGCAGCGCTTCTACAGCACCACCAACTCTGGGGCTCTGCACTTGTTACCTACTTAATCATAGAATGGTTTAGGTTGGAAGACCTAAGGGCATCCACAGCTTCTCTTGGCAACCTGTTCCACTCTTACCACCCTCAAAGTGAAAGCGTTACCACCCTCAAAGTGAAATTTTTCTTCCTAATATCTAATCTAAATCTAACTTCTTCCAGTTTAAAGTCATTCACCCTTGTCCTATCACTACATGCCCTTGTTAAAAGTCCTTCCCCAGCTCTTCTGTAGGCCCCTTTTAGGTACTGGAAGACCGCAATAAGGTCTCTCTGGAGCCTTCTCTTCTCCAGCCTGAACAGCCCCAACTCTCTCAGCCTCTCCTCATAGGAGAGGCACTCCAGCCTTCTGATCATCTTCATGGCCTTCCTCTGGACCAGCTCCAACAGGTCCGTGTCTTTCCTGTGTTGGGGGCTCCAGAGCTGGACGCAGTACTCCAGGTGGAGTCTCATGAGAGTGGAGTAGAGGGGCAGAATCACCTCCTTTGACCTGCTGGCCACACTTCTTCTGACACAGCCCAGGATATGGTTGGCCTTCTGAGCTGTGATTACACATCGCTGGCTCACATTGAGCTTCTTGTCAATCAGCACACCCAGGCGCTTCTCCTCAGGGCGGTTCTCCAGCCATTCTCCACCCAGGCTGTATTTGTGCTTGGGATTGCCCCAGCCCAGATGTAGGACCTTGCACTTGGCCTTGAACTTAATGAGTTTGGCTTGGGCCCACCTCTCCAGCCTGTCCAGGTACCTCTGGATGGCAGCCCTCCCCTCCAGCATGTCTCACTCACCCGA